GGTCAGGTCTCACACAAGGGACCATTTTCAGAGCTCCAGCCCATTTTCTCTCCAGCCTTTGGTTTGGCTGGTGCTGCCCACATGTGGCAAAGGAGAAGAGGCTTTTCCAGTGGCAGTTTTGGGGCAAACCTCTTTGGGCATACTTACCCCTTGCTTTTTGTTACCATCCCTGGAGGTGTTCAAGAAACGTATAGATTTAGTGCTTCGGGACATGGTTTAGTGGGTTAGGTGGTGTTGGCTTGACAGTTGGACTTGATGATGCTTGAGGTCTTTTCCAACTTTAATGATTCTATGATTCTATGAGTGCAAGAGGATTTCAGCCAGCTCTCAAAGGCCCTATGCAGAGGATGCTCTCCAGCCATCACTTGACCTTAGGCAAACTGCTTTCCTAAGGTTTTATGCTCCTTTGAGCTTCATGTGCTGCTTCCCTTTCCTTGCAACATGCTACCTGTAACCATGCCCCAGGCAAGAGGGTGAACCAAATATTACCAAGTCGTTCAGTGAAGGGCTTTCAGATCAGCTGGTGTGAGACCTGGCCTCCTTCTGCATGCAGCATCATGGCACCAACCTGAATCGCATGATCACAGGGTCAACTTTCCCATTCCTCTCTTGGGGCTCACCACATCATCAAGGACCTGCTGTGGAGCTGATTGGAAAGCTGCTTCAGGCTTGAAAGGATGAGACCTAACTTGCCTAGGAGCTGAGGGTGGAGGGCTGCAGGTGCTCTTGATGAAGCCTTTGAACATACCAAGTGCTGCAGGATGATCATTGGTTCTAATTGTGCAGCAGAGCCATCAGCTGCGTTTATCTCTCTGAGCTCTTGCTCCCTAGCCAGAGTGGGATGGTACCTGCCCCCTCACTTCCCAGGGTTGTTCAGAGTGATTGTTAACCTTAGATTCGGTAAAGCAGCCAGTCACCAAAGCATTGAATGCAATGAATGAAAAGCCCAGAAGGAAGCTAGTTCTGGTGCCAGAGGCAGGTTTAAACAAGCAAGCTGGGCAGTGAGCAGAGATGGAGCTTTGCATGGAGACGCTGGGGCTCCATATACCTGCTCGCTCCCAGCCCTCTTTGCTTCCCTGAGCAGCTTTCCTCAGCCTTGCTGTGCCTTTCCCTGCCTTGTGCCTGTGGGAGCACAAGAGATGGGGTCTCTGCTCGCTCACCCTGGGAATGTCCCCCCTCTCCCCCCCCCACAACGTTTGGTAACTGAGGGGGGGGAGGTGGGGGAAAGGCACCATCACTTAGCCTTTTTGTAAGAAACTGCTTGAAGTAAGTGTCCCATCTTCAGACTGGACCCACCCCAGGCCAGGGCTGAGCCAATCAGCACTTCTGCAAATAACAGAATAACAGAACAAAACCTTTGGGCTTTGGGAAGAAGGGAGGAGTGGGGGAGAAGTGCCTTTTAAAGATGTGGTTTCTCTCTTTCAATATCTTGCTTCTTGCTGTAAATAGTTAATAAATTCAGTTGTTTCCTTGTTCTTCACGAGTCGTGTCGGTTTCTTGCCCATGTCCCTAAGTAGTGAGTGAAACCCTCCCTGTCCCTGCCTCAGCCCACCAGGTGTTTAGCAAAAAACTGTCCCCGTGGTTTTATAAACCACGACAATCACTTTGTGAACTTGCTGTTTAAAAACCCTTTAATACTTTTTTTTTTTCCCTCATGCTTGAAGTGTTGCTAAATTGGATGCATAGATGAAACAATGATGTTCTCTTTCTTATTCTCAGGCTTGGAAACATTTGGACTCTCTCCCTCTTCCCCACACAAAAGCTGTCTCAACCAGAGCGGGCATAAATATTTTTATCAGACTTAAATTGCTTGGGCTGAAGTTAAAAGCAAGGGAAAAGAGTGGCCTTGTTATGGGCAAGGCTGGACTGTTCTAGCAGGCAGTGCTACTGGTTTCACCTGTATGATTTAGCTTTTCCATATTAGCCAGGAAAGCTGTGTCTGAAGAGATGTGGGAACGCTCTGCCGGAACCACCCTTGCTGCTGTCAAGGCCAGGCTCCACTAATATTGGTCACTGAGCATGGTTAGCCTTAAGCCTTATCTGGTGTTGATGTTTGGCTTCATTTTCTGGTATGAATAGCTACAGCAGCAAAAGGGCAGTTTTGACCAGGAAAACTTCGTCTGTTTTCAGCCTGACCAAGAGATGTCTCTTGCAAATTCACATGACCTGAAAATGTAATGTCCAGTTTTCAGCCTGACTCTCTTCCAGAGGTTAATGCCTGTAGAGCTTGCTGGGAGAAAAGTTTGTGTGTATGCTTCCTAACCTACTCCTACAAAATCAGCTAGGGTAGCCTAGACTGTCAGTGTGACTCAGAATGAATTCAGCAAAGCAGGACAGTGATGGACTTGGGGATGTGTGGCCTAACCCCTTCTGCTAGCAAAGCTTTGGGGCAAGTAACCTCTGGAAGCAGCGTGCCCATGGGCAGCAAGGCCTGGCAGAGTCTTGAAGGGTACGACAAGATCCTAACAAGGCTGATTTTTTTCAACCTTGTACATCTAAAAAGTAATCTGGTAAGGGTAAAACATCTCATCCACAGGGCCAGAGGTCTAGCAGGGCAGAGCAGCAATGTCATCCTGGTCAGGACTGCAAGAGGAGGCACCTGGCCCTTGGCCATATTATTTTTAAGCTTGGAAAGCACACGTGGTCTGCAAGAGCATAGCACTAAGGAAAGGAACTCGCCAGCACTTCCTGCCTTGCCCCAGCAAACTGATAAAGCCCTTTGCAATGCAGGATGACCCCAGTTTATTTTTAAATTGTGGCCTGGCGTGGAACTCACAGAATAACTGAAGCACCCAGCTTTGGGCATTAATTCAGCCTTAATTAACTCCCTGATGAATTAAAGAGTTAATGTAAAAAGGACAAGAAAAGCCAGCAAACCATCTCCAAAGCAATGTCTGCATAAGGGCATGCATCTGTGCATGTACACGGGATCTAAAAGAAGGGTGGTTAGTAAATGTTACACAGGGAGGGACACTTAGCGTTATCTTGAGCACCGTGTGAATTTTCTTGCTTCTTGGACAATGCAGCTCAATCCTGTTCCTTTCCCTTGTTATTCCAGTCCCAGCCCTCTTGTAAGCAAAGATAATTGCATGCTGAAGGATACAGTTCCCATGTACAGCAAGTGCTCACACTGAGGAAATCTAGGTTCCTGCCATCAAAAGCGAGTCGTTTGCCATGGAGCAGTGATAACAGGGCCCACTGGGATGGATCTATCTTTATTGCATGCCCTGTGGAGGCATAAATGAGATTGCCAGAGATGTTCTCCTTCTTGCCCAGATGCTGGGACAGCAGGGTTGCTGTGGTACCAAAACACTCTGGGTTCAGGCCAGGAAGGAGCTATTGCAGGGGAAGAAAATTACAGCACTCAGCTCCTGGTGCACACATGGTGCCTCACCATCTCTTGGCTCTCTGTGAAACAGCCTTAGTCCTGCAGCAGGATGAATTGGTTTGTTAGAAATTAGATTACTCTTTCTGGTTTGATTGATTAGGTATTTTGTGGATAGACCTTATTTCTGTAACAGAAACCCTTTTCTCTGAAACCAACTTTTGAGGCATTAAAGGCACTGCATTAAAATGTCCCAGCTGGAAGAAGAAATACCCCTGCTTGTCCATCTTCTCCTTCTGATCAACTTGTGCTAGGACTGGGGGGTGATGTTGCTAGAAAGAGGGACTGGTGTGCTTGCCACATCTCAGCAGTGGGTGACAACCTCAGCTGCTCCTGCCCTGAGCAGGTGTTTGGGATCTTGTTAGCAGCGCTAGCCCTTCAGAAACAGAAATGCCAGCTGGGAGGAAACAGCCCAGCCTCAGCCTGAGCACCCTCTGGCCCAGACCTCTGGGAGGCCTCATCAGGGCCAGGCGGGTGCCCCAGCAATAGGACCATGTCCCAGAAAACTGGGAATTATTTCATCTTGAGACTCACAGCATGGAAAGGTTTATTAAGTGTGATGTCCAAGCAGCAGAGCCAGAAAACACACGACGCAGCTCCAAAACATAGCAGTAGTCTCGGTCATGCCAAGGCCCTGTGTGAGGGGTGACCTGTGGGACTGTTGCGGGCACACAGCTGCCTGCGGCAGGCGCAGTGACACCAAGACCTAGGGTGTGTCTTCACATCCATGCTGAGGCCACTTCAAATAGGAGTGAGCTGGCTGCAGGCACAGCTGCTTAGGGGGTGCTCGGGGAAGAGAGATTAGATCAAAGCTGGGGTGTTTACTAGTGTCTTCCACAGATTGTTAATGAAGCACCAAAAATAAACAACCCAATGCTTTTAAAACCACTGGGTTAAAGGAAATCCTTTCCAGTCTACTAGTCTTTCTGTCTCTGCCCTTTTTCGGGGGACCACAGTCATGAGGCATCCTGGGGGCCAGGAGGTTTTGCCACAGCCTGATCCTGATGGTGCTCAAAGGCAGGAGGAGCTCTGCCTGTAGCGCCTGCTTAGAAGCAAAACACTGTGCAGGCTTGTTCTCACCCAGGTGCACATAACCAGCACTGGCAGTGAAGATTGGCCTGATCTAAGATGTCTGTGTGGGTCCAGGTGGCCAGGACAGTCCTGCCTGTGCCATTGCCACCTCTGCCACATTTGCCTTATGTTGAGGGAGAGCAGTGCTCATCTCCACTCCTGCTTTTTTATGCCTGGGGAGATCCTGCCTGCTTCTCTCCCTTTCTGTCCTGAGAACTTTAGAGGAGGGAGGAAGGACATGCCCTCCCACACTGCCCCAGCAGTGTCACAGTGGATTGACAGCAGCAAGCACCTTCACAGTTCTGTTCTTCACAGTTAATTTGATAAGAGGACACTTTCATCCTCACTATCTGCTGATATAGTCACTTTGAGAAGATTGGTTGTTGATAACTTGCATGCGCTTAGGAGCTTCTAGACTCAAGCAGTTTTTTCAGGGCTAGAAAAGATGCCAAAGCTTTTATTCAAGTGGGGAGTTCCTTTCATTTTTCTTCTTGAGGGAATATACTCCAAATTGTGGGTCATCTTGCCTTTCTTTCTCTTCCAGGGAAGGAACTGCCATGCCTGTGGGAATCTTCCGGGTGTGCCTAGTGGTGATAACAGCTATTGTCAACCACCCACACCTCTACCCTAGAGAGAATGGCGCTGTCCCTGAGAACACGGAAGAAATCATCCAGAAAATGAAGGAGCGCGAGGAGATCCTGCTGATGGAGCAGTTGCGCTTGGAGCAGGAAGTTGCAGACCAGGAAGCCAGACAGAAGGCTCTGGAAAAGGCTGCAGAAGTAGTGGAGGAAAGCAAAGAGGAAAAGATCCGATGGGATATGTGGAGTGCCCTTTCCATGGTCGTTTTCAAAAAAGGAGGCAGGATTTCCGGGAAGGGAATTGTCAGGACATAGAAGGAGAAGAGGATGACATGGCAGTCCTCGGGAAGGTATTTAAAGGAGTGGCCTTCCCTGACAAGGCTGTCTTGTCCAGCTTCTACAAGAAGCGCATCCTGGGTACCACTGGAGACATGGCCAGGATGCGAGAGATGGTGGAAGGTTTTGCAGATGACCTGCTGGAGGCCTTGAGGAGTGTTTGTAACCGGGATGCTGACATGGAAGTGGAGGACTGCATGGGTGTGGGGAGCATGTATGAGAATTGGAGAGTGCGTAAGCCTTTTGTCTGTGATCTCATAGTGCCTTTTGCCCCTCCAGAGCCGTACTGTTTCCGGTCCCAGACCTGGTGCTCTGGTGACTCTTTTCCCCCAGATGAACAAGGTTATGGCACTATCAAGGTATGCAGGGCAAATGAGGATGTGACAGGATGTATCTGTGACAAGACTAAACTAGGGGAAGATATGCTGTGCCTCCTCCATAGCCAAGCCAATACCACCAGGCCCAGCAGTGAGATGGAAGACCTCCTGTGCTTCAAAAATACTCAATATCTGGATGCCGACCAAGTCATGAAGTGGTTCCAAATCGCGGTCACCAAGGCCTGGAACAGAATCTCTCACAAGTATGAATTTGACCTTTCCTTCAGCCTCCTGGACTCACCAGGAGCCCTGAAGATAAAATTTAAGTCAGGGAAATCAATTGCCTTCAACCTCACCCCTGTGGTGCAGTACGAAAACTCTGACGTTTACTTCATCTCTCATTTCCCTCGGAGTGGCCTGGCAGCAGACCTCCCCTCCAGCACTCACTGGTTTCTCACCTTCGCAGTGTATGAGAGGAGGTTCATCCAGCTGGTCTCCAAAACGCTGCCTGCCAACAGTTGCCATGTCAGCTGCCTTCAGATACTCTCCTTCCTCCATGCGAAGCAGTGCAGCCTCACAGGTCCAAGCGGGCTCACCAACTACCACTTGAAGACAGTGATGCTGCATCTCCTGCAGGCACGTCCCAGTCAGGATTGGATGCCAGAGAATTTGGAGGCCCGTCTACAGGACATGCTGAAATTCCTGGAGAAATGTTTGCATGAGAAGAAGCTCTACCACTTCTTTATTGGCAATGGGAAGGTACCAGCAGAGCTGGGCTTCCCCATCATATTCCAGAGGGCTGAGCCCCTCAATCTTTTCCGTCCCTTTGTGCTACACAGGGATGTTTACAAGAAGACAGTGGACACATTCCATGAGATGCTCAGGAACATGTCTGCGTTGATAAATGAGTACACGGTGCACATTCCCCTTGCGCACACCAATGGGATCCATAAGGAATCCTTTTAACCAAAACCAGCAGGGAAACACTTATTCCTCTAAGCACAAGTCCAGAGGGCAGCTTTCTAAAGTCACCTGAAGACAATTGACTTTGCCAGTACAGCATCTTGTCTGCAGCTGAACTGGTCCTGGGCCATGGTTTCTGCAGTATGGGAGAGGGGGATGGAGGGAGAAGGAGAAACTGGAAGATGTGTTATTAAAGTTTCTGCTCATTTCCTTTGGAAGGAGGAGATAAGAAAAGGGTGGAGGAATCAGAGACAGAATCTTGGGATCGCAGGAGCGTGTCTGCTTGCAGGCAGCAGGAGCTCTGCAACCAGATGAAGTGCAACATAAGACTCAGGGCTGAGGTGGGGAGGAGGGTCATGCACAAGATTTGGACTGGATGGAGGTCCTTAAATCAACCACAGCCCTTTAATCAAAAGGGAGGTGTAGTTATAAAAAACAAGCCTTCTCAATAGGACTTGAGCAGTAATTTAAGTGGCTTGTCCTGTCCTTCAAAAACACCCCTGCACCCTGCACATTTCTTCTCCCTGGGGAAGATGAAGCAGAGCAGACAGCAGGGTCTGTGTCTTCAGGCCATTTAATTTGAGTCTTCCATTTTCTTCATGGTAACATGGCTAGTGGGTTATATCCCTAGCCATTTTCCATGGATAAAGGGACAGGAACCTTTTTTACCTTGGATAAAAGACACCATTACTGGGTTCTGGCATTTTGGTTTATTTGTTTTCCTTACCTCGGGGCAGCAAGGCTGAGAACAGCCAAGAGAGAAAGGACTGCTACTGGTTTTGCTTTCATAAAATAAGCAGTTCTCCAAAATTATCCTGTAATGAAGCCAATCTCAGCAGTCTGGTAGTAGGAGGCAACAATCAGCCTCCAAATGAGAGTGCGACTCTCCCAGCATGGTTTTAAAGAGGCCAAGGCCAGCAGAATGGCTCTGAGTTAGGAGAAGGGGATGAAAGATGTGCAAATGTAGCAGAGCTTGGCAGTACTGTCTCTGCAGCTGCCTTGTGGTCTGTGTCACATCCCTTCCACTCCCAGAGACCCAGGCCAAAGCTACCTGTTTGCCTCCCTGTAGGGTCTCCTCAGTCCTTTTAAAGACTGCTGCTGTGATGAGCTGCTGCTAGCAGACTAATTTGCTGAACTGGGAGTGCGATGGGGCAATGACAGCTTCTGCACGCTTTCAAGCCAGGGGAGAATCTCAAGGCATGTGCTAAAAAACCCAATGCAGAAAAGGAGGTGCCTGAACTCCCTCAGGACGCAGCATGTCAGCTCTGTGCCGGCAGGCTGCCCAGCCCCAGCAAGGTGGCTTTGCTGGAGGGGAGGCCTCAGTAGCACCTCACCATCCTTTACGTGCTTCGTCCAGGATCCAAGCTAGAGCCTCAGTGCAGATCTGCTTTGTGCTGGTCCCGGAGTCCTGTCCTCCCGTGCTGAGGGGCCTTTCCTACACGAGGATTTCCTGTGGTGTTTTACACTAGGGCTTCTCTGAATCTTGTTTACAAGAGCATATTTGTTCTGGGTGGTGAGTTCCATCAGGGATGATATTACCATGACTCCCCAGGTCCCTTTTTATCAATCGTCTCTATCACATGCATCAAAGAGAAGATTTAGTCCTGTATCACTACAAGGGACAGCATACAGCATGAGGCTTATTATCTAGCTTGTTGATAAGCAAATTTTCCATAGACATGTCCTCTCCTCCCTTTTCCTGGTAAAAATCATTTCACCACCTCCTTGATGTCTGCTCTTGACAGTCCCTCCACCAGTGAGGGACATTTCATGCACGAAGGCAGAGAAAGCTGTAACTCTCTTTTCCACACCTTGCTTATAAGAAAGCACAGGTGATGACAGGGAACTCTGCTCCCCTTGGCTTTTATCATCACAGCTATAGGGTGGGTAAGTAATACTTCAGAGCAGAAATTAAGGGGTAAGAAGCAAAATGGGAGAAAAGACACTGGTGGGCAATGCCAGTCGGAAAGAGTCTCAAATCTTCAGTGCTTGCTTCAGCACCCTTGGTGGTGAGTGTCTGGGAGACTGCCAGGGCTGTCAGAGCAACAGGGCAGGACTAATTGCTAGTGCTAACAAGGGCTGTAAGCCTCTGGCTTTCATTAGTACAACCAAGCAAGCCTTCCCCAGCAGGAAAGAGGGCAGGAGCAATCTCAGGGGACATGACAAGTGGGTAGTGGCAAGCACAGGTACAGGGAAGGTGAATACTGAATGAGTGAATACTGGAGCCTGGAGGCTACACTGGAAGCTGTGTAAGTGGTTTGCAAACCCAAGCAATTTGCCATTTTTACCTGCCTAGGTTTACTGCACGGTGTCTGTAGCAGATCCAGCTTCGCGTGGGCTGCTGGCAGGCAGGTCGTGCTGAATCAGCTGTGGTCAGAGTTGCTTCTAAATGTGTTCCCGGCCCAGCCAGAGAGAAATAAAAATTTCTCTGCCATTTCCTGTCAGGAGTCTAAATTTAGACTGTCCAAAGAACAGAAACAAATTTCTGACCCAGGTCTCTCAGGAAATGACGTTCAGGGTTGAAAAATAACTTATAAGGTTGAGCAGGGGGAGGAGGAGAAGGCTGTTGAACAGAATAAGGTAACTCCCCTGTAAAATGTCAGAACAAAGCTGTGTAATGCCAGTCCTATGCTCTTGTAAACGTCCTAAACTCATCTTCACACAGCTCCCAGCACTGCTGCTCAGACTCAAAGGGAACCTAAACTGATAAGTGGGTTGGATCTTTTGTTCTTAATTTTCTGTATTTGTGAGCCTGTTCTTTCTTAAGCCCAAACTAACCCTGAAGTGTTCCCATGGGGTTTAGTTGAACCCAAGCTGGAGCTGAACCAAGGAATTAATGGATTTGATTCCCCTGAAAACAAATTGCTTGGCTTAATTTTCCTACATGTAGTATGCTCGTTTTGCCCTGAGCACTTTTTAAGAGTCCTGTTCTGTGCATTTAGACTGTGAGGGAACCCACTTATACCTGTCTGGGAGGAGAAGTGCTCTGTGATTATAAACTGTGCTCCAGTAAGCCTCAGAGCAGAGATCTTCTTTGTAAGCCATAGCTGGGTCTCTTTAGCCTGGAAAAGAGGAGACTGAGGGGTGACCTAATCAATGTTTATAGATATGTAAAGGGTGAGTGTCAGGAGGATGGAGCCAGGCTCTTCTCTGTGACACCCACTGATAGGACAAGGGGCAATGGGTTCAAGCTGGAACATAGGAGGTTCCACTTGAATATGAGAAAAAACTTCTTCACGGTGAGGGTGACAGAGCACTGGAACAGGCTGCCCAGAGAGGTTGTGGAGTCTCCTTCTCTGGAGACATTCAAAGCCCGCCTGGATGCGTTCCTGTGTGATCTGATCTAGGTGTTCCTGCTCCGGCAGGGGGATTGGACTAGATGATCTTTCGAGGTCCCTTCCGATCTCTAACATTCTGTGATTCTGTGATATACCAGAGACATGTTCGTGTCCTATCTGAGGAGCTGTGGGTACGCAGCATTTCTCTGAATCATACCTCTGCAGTGGTACAAGGAGGCCATGATGTGAAGCACATCATTCCTTGGACTGCCTTGTCTCTCCTGCATTAAATCTTTGCCCACCAAGCACTAGCCCTGTCAGTAAAAGGCCGCACTCACATTTCATAAAAAAGGTTTATAAGACTGTTAAGCTCTATCAGCTGTCAGCCAGTAAAAATGTCCTATGACTTTTTAGTGCCGCCAATGTTTAGTTCTGCTTTGACTGAAGTCTGTCTGGGCATTCGTAGGAAGCAGCTTTGGGGGGGAGGAAGAAAGGGGAGGGAAGTGGGGTTTTGTGGTTTAAAGCGAATAACATTCTTTTAAAGACAAGTAGCATATGACATGTGAGTAACAAACACAGTATCTCTCTGGTAATGCCTGTATCTCCATGAGAGATGCTAAGGAAGGTTAAACTGCCTGTCCAGACTCCTTTCTTGTTCCTCAGTGCTGTTCTTGCTATTTGTTAACCAGGTGAATTTAACAGAGGAACTCCTACTGCCTCCTGGTAGTTTCCAACTACTCCCTCCACCCTCAACTTGTGGTTTTAATATTTTATTATAGCCTCTGTCAAAGCAGTGGAATTAGTGGTGGCTTGATAGCAGCCACTGATCCACAACATAGCCCCAGGAGCCATTTGCCTTTAGGACATGTCTTGGTCTAAGGTTATTATTCTTATTCAGGAGCTGAATGTCTTCCAAGGCTGTTGGTAGTTCACTCTTTAGTATGTGGCAACCACAGAATATGGCTTCTTTCTCTCTAGGTTGCTCTATATACAGGTCTTATGGGGGTATATGGGATTCCTTGGCTGTATGTCAGCCAAGGAATACAAAACTATCCAGTATTCAAGCAGCATGATTTGGTGCTTGTTCACCAGACATTTTTAATGCAAAGCCTTTGCAATGTTTTCTCTGTGGTGAAGAAATGAGAATTTACCCACCTGTAACAGCTTAGCTGCTGTTCATAGAGGGGTTAGTTCTCATAGGATCCTACATAGTAAATAGCTTTATTTATTACTTGTCTTTTACTAGGATTGGGGATATGTGTGTAATATTTTAGCTCAGAAGCAAAACTGTAGTATGAAGATCAATCTTGGCAGTGCAGCTAAGATGGGCAATAACACCAAAACTCTCCAAACTGAGGTCTTCCTTGACTGACAATGCTGTACTCAAACCGCTGCTTTTATAGCAGGACACTGTTGAATTTGTATAGATCTTCTCATGCAGCTTTATTTATAATAAAGGAAGTCTTGTAGAAAATCTAACGAAGTGTGAAATCTGTTTTGTTTCTAATTCCCCAAAAAATGTTTCTGAGAGAGCAGAAGGATGGAGTGAGGCTGTGTGTAGGGCAATCCTAGCACAGTGAGTCCAACAGCAAGACACCCTGTGATTTCTGACTGCCTGGATAAGTTGTTCCAGAATAAGATGCAACATAAAGTGGAATAGCTGTTCCAGAATACCAGGGATGTCAGACTTCCCAAGAATATGAATTCACAGGAATATAAAATAAT